CCAACATAACCCACGAAGAGGCACAACAAAAAGAAAAAGAGAAGTAATATAATTCACAGTTCAAGATATAACCAACTTGCTGGTGAATCTTGTACATTGAAGAAGCATCACAGAACACTTCAAAGCCTATTTGTAAAGAAGTCAATCCCAGTTCACAAGTATTGCTGTTGAATTCTGGCTCTATTTTCTTCCCACCACAACCGTGCCTGCATTTCTCCAAACCTTTCTCGGCTGCACCAAACATACATTTCCGAGTTAAATAGAATTCACGTTTTTTAGACTACTCGTAAACCAAAGAAACATTAAAATTTTATTGACTTGGCTTGTAAATGAGACTAGAACCCGAAATTCTTCAATACAAGTTTTAAAAGAAATATCTTGTTTTACATGACGTTAATTGATAGAAGCTATAAATTTATGCATACAAAAAGAACCACTTACCTGAACCGCACTCTTCTAAGCTCACGACTGCCACCTGGCAATGTTCCAATAGTAATGTAAACTCCAGGCTCATCTTGCTCGACCCACTCAGTGTCCAAATCACTGGCATTGCTCACTGAAAGCTCCCCGGAGTGGTCAGACTCTCTTGAACAAATAGAATGTGCAGAAGCATCAATGGATGATGCATCTGTCTTTGCAGCACTAAGGCTGGACAGTTTTGGTGACGTTTTAAGATCACCAGAGTCGCAGTAATGGCGAGATTGCATTTGGTGGTGTTCAACAGGACTATTCTCAGCAGATTCAATTTTTGAGTTCTGAAAGAAAAACATTTTTGATGTGATACACGTTGCTCACAAAAATAAAATAGTTTTAGTATCACATTGTTCACAAAAATGAAATAGTTTTCCAAATTAAAGCCCTTGGTAACTAAAACTAGAACATTTTACCCCTTTGTTAAATAAAAGATGGATCCCCAATTAACCCCATGTTCAATGCATTACAAGCATGTATATTACCAATTATCTACTCCCTGGCAACATCCAGGGAACTGATAGATCAAGTCAACTATCATTCCGAAGAAAGCCAAATCATTTCAAGGATTTAGTTACTAATAACTATAAGAACTATCATCAAATAATTACATACATATACGATTCGAATTGATTCAAAGATGATGTCAATTTTAGAAAAGAATAATTACACTGTCAAAATTCAAGATATGAAGTCAAGAACTAAGCAATAAAAACAGAAAACCAATTACGGCAGAAGTAAAGCTCACCTTCTCCTCAGGTTTTGGCAGAGTTGTTTCTGGTATTGCTTGATGATCGAACCCCTGAACATTGTATAATTCCATCACTTTGTCGTAATTGTCTGCCCACCACCTTTGAGCTTGCGATTTGTTAAACATCTCTCGACTGGAAAAATCATGAAGGGGAAGTTTGAATTTTAATATTTGCAATTATTTGCATAACCCTTCAAAATGATGCGTGGCAAAAGGGAAAAAAGGGGGAAAGACGAAGATTCCAGCTATTAAATTTATGCACTAGAATAACACACAATTTAGGTATGACATTACAGTAGCAACCAACCATGCCAAGGAAAGGACTAGGGCACAACTCGTTGAGAATATCAACAGAGGAAATAAGCATTTGTACTCATGTAAACCAACAAATTCTTGGTACACAAATTAACCCCAATCATTAGAAGACAGTCCGATGAACTGCATAGGGACAAAGTCTAATTTAGGTTCTTCCATGAGTCCTTTCTTTACTGTGTCTGGTGTCTAAATAGCATCCAGTAGCTCGTTGGCTGAAAGCAGTACCTGATGTGCCCTTTCATTATGTACGTAAGAAACAACCTTTGACTCGACGCAACGCGACAGGAACAAATCATTTCTGAGGTGAAGCTGTTTGCAAGTGATATTTGATCAATTACGTATTAATCAATATTCAATTGATTGGTCAGAGATTATCGACAAAAAAGATTTGTCTAAGCAATCCAAATTTCAGTTTAAAACTCGGGTAATGAACCTCTTTGGTTAGCCCTCAAAATGGGATAGACAATTCGTCAATTTGCATTTAGCAAAACAATTGACACTCTAGTTAACAAACAGTCCGCGTTGCATAGATTTATGTGGTAAAAAGAAGCCTATGAAAGTGACGAGTGAGGCCCGTCAGACCTTGCTCTCTCTCTCTCTCTCTCTCTCTCTCTCTCTCTACTTGTTGGGATTTAATTAATATTCTATTTTCAGTCCCATGATACTCCAGACACGACCCTTCAGTACCGATCCCTTGAAACTAACTAGTTTCACAGCTCCCAAACAAAACACAACTTTCAGGTTCATCTGAAATAATTTCACTGAATCCTATTTGGAAATAATTTTACTTGGCTGTTGATTAAAACTGTTTTCTTGCTTTTAATTTTTGAATATTTCAAATTGAATTATACTCTACAAGTCATTCTTACTCTTTTCATCTAATTATTACTCCTCAGTTCTTATCATTTTTGAAAAAAGAAAAATGAAATTATATAAAACTCAAACTGAATACGCTACGAAATTAAAATTTATATTTGACAAATCTCAACACAGAAGCTGACAGCAGTACCTGAATTGAATCCTTTTGAGACCATTTCCTCCTTGAGGCAATGAAACGAAAGTAATCAGCACACCAGGCTCAACCTGTGCAACCCACTCTTTGGGCTCATCTTCCTCCATGAACACTACCGATACACTTCTACCACTAACTGAAGAGGGCGTGACTTCACCGCTGGAAAGGGCCTTTAGTTTGGCTTCCATTTCCTTCCCCCATAGCCTTGGATGGTTGTTTAAGCTCCCTGTCCTCTTGTAGGTGCCGTAAAATCTCCCCGAGACCCAGCCGGCTTCCGAGTCAGGGTAGGCTCGGTCCTGGTTGTTGCTTGAGGAGCGGGAACATGGGTTGCAGGACTTGTAAGCACCAGATGCCTTTACTGCCATATCCTTTATCTAAAACACAAATACCCAGTAATTTAGATTGATATTTAAGAACCCACAAATAATAAATGATGAATTACGGAGAAATTTGTAGTGTTGTATTACCTGGTTCGTTAGGGCTTTGATTGGTTGTTTACTGGACAGAGTGACGGTGGTGTCATCCTCTACTGGAGGGTTGCGAAGAGATCTGGCAGTTTGCTGCTTTGAACAAGCTATGCAAAACATATTCGATTCAATGCCCCAGTTTACTCGAGATTCACTGAGAATCTGAAAAAACAAACAGTCACATCATGAATTGAATAGAATAGTGAATCAAACTTTTGAGGGCCTACATCACAAAAGATAAAATCATTACAATGAAAATATAGCAAACGCAAGAAACACCGGGCCCAGAAAATCTTCAGCTACATTTTAAGTAGAGAAACCAATAGAACCAATACACATTTCCTCCGAAGAAAACTTCTTTAGAGAAAATCTGCAGCAGAGGTGGAAGAGACCGAAAAGGGTTGAGTGTGAAATGGCCCTTGACTCTTCGTAAGAAGAGTAGGGTGTAACCCGGGCGTTAAAGACGGAAGTGTAATGTACAGTGCATAGGTTCTGACGATTAGAAATTGGAAACTAGATCAAAATAGCCGTTCATAATCATGGTAGTGTACAATTTTATATTAATTGAACAAACTCTCTCTCCCCCGAGGTTATGGGTGGAAAGAGCGAGAAACCAGCAGCCATGTATTTTTATATTTTGCTCCTGGGAATAAAAAATTCAACAGGGATTGTGGACCATTTGAATTGAGCGATGAGTGTCCAGATTTGTGTGTTCTCGAGGCAGAGGTGGCGGAAGACTTAAGGAAGATGGGGTAAAATTTGGATCATGCTACACAAAATAATGATTGACATACGAGATGATCGAACACTCACACCTCAAGGATCGAGCATTATTTTATTCACGCGGGGTTCACGTTTCGTGTGAGGGTCGGTCACCCATTTTCGGGCACTTCTGCATTATTCTAAACATTTTTGGCTAAGCTTAGGGGATAAAAATGGGTAATAATTAAAATCAAGATTTGAATTTAAATTAAAATTAACAATTAATTTTAATTACATATTTTATGGGACTCAGAAATTTTTAACCATATATTTTATCAAAATTTACTAAAAATCTGATTTTAATTCCCATCAAATAAGAGTATGGTATGTTACTTTTTGAATAAAAATAAGCTTATATTAAATAAGTGGTTTAAAAGTGAACAATACTTATAAATGATGCAGAATGTGAAAAAAAAAAAACTTTGATCAAAAGTATTTTTGAACAAAATATGTGTAAACACCCAAAATACCTTGTGAAACATACTTTAAGGTACGTTCATATTGTCCAACCATCCAAGGATTGGCACTCACTTAACGAAGTTGTTTGATTGGTACAATACAGAAAATGGCAAACAAATTAGATGCCTAAGGCACTTAGAGTAAGACCTCGTTGTATAAACTAACTCAAATAGGCATTAACACATGCCCTCAGAGTAAGACTAATGTAGCCTTCTCGATGCTCAAGTGTTGCAACATTAAGAGACACCACTATCTTCTTCAAAAGCAACATGTAGCGAAAAAAAGATTAATAGGATTGTTGGTGTGAGAAATTACTAGTGCATCTAGGAGACACCACTGTCTTATCCAGAATCAATGTTTAGGGGGGAAAATTCATAAGGTTGCTGGTGTCAAAAATTATTAGTGCATCTGAAATTTCAATTATGTGAGTACCTCCGTACCACACTCATCATATACATTGTTATGGTTTAGAGAAAAATGCTCTCATCGCATAAACTTTCATGTACATCGTATCATCTTGAAAATCCTAAATTACGGAGAACCCATGAGATTTCTTTAACATAAATATAATTGATCTTATTGGCATAAATTTGATCTCCTGTTCACAGTGAACTTGGCCCACAATGGGCAAGAGATCAAACCCCCTTGCTGGCATGTCCTTTCTCAGCTCATAAATACTATTAACTTTTGGACCAAATGCCATAGTCGAGAATATAATAGATTTTGTATTTTCGAAAGACCGTTTTGAACTTTTGCTTGTAATAATGAAACTCACTAAAGTAGATTCTTTAAAGAAAGGACTGTTTCCAACGAAGTGGCACAATTTTTCACTATCAAGGCTTTCTTTAGACTTTATACTTTGCTTGCCGTGTGAGTTGATAAAGCAAATAAGGGGCCGTTTGAGCCCCATTATTTGTAGATTATAATGAGATGAATAGTATTTTTTGAAAAATGATTGGTTAAAAAGTTTTTGATTTACGTGTAATATTATTTTATTGAAAATTATGTGGTTAAAATGAGGAGAGAAAATTTTAATTTAATGTAATGAAAAATAATGAGGCTCAAACGGGGACTAAATAAATATGCGTCTGATTTTAACTCTAATGCATTTTAGAACAAGTTTCCTCTTGCTTCAATTGTACTGACATATAATCTGACAAGGTATAGATATGCTTGTTTTACAAGTTTAGGAAAGCCAAGTCGCGTTCTTGCCCGTCCTGAGCTGAGTCCATTGTGGCCGATTTGCTCCGTAACACATTTTAGAATTAAGCTATTTGTACACTTTCTTTGACGGGAAGGATGACAAATGAAATGTTTCTTGCTAATGTAGAGTTTGTGAAAGTTGAAAAAAAATAAAAAATTTCGTCCATCACGCTTTTTGTCAATTGAGATGTACAAGTTGCAAGATCCCATATTTTAATGAGGTGATGAGCATGTATGCTTCACTTCGTGAAGAGGGGTCATTTCTTTATTTTCTTTACTCTCATTGGACCATTTGGTATTTATATATATCGAGATTTCAATTTATAGATCTTCCATTGGAGTTTAATTTTCTAAGGGGTAGGCTTAAAATTTTTTGAACCTATTAACGTGACTCAACCTCTACTTGAGCCACTGTGTAATCGTGAAAAATTTTCAAGCAAGCCCAAATTAGGCATATTTATACATCTAAACACCCATTATGCTACTCACTAGTAGCATAATTGTTGACCTCATGGTTGAAGTAATGGAATATTGAATGGAAATCTCAAAAACTATTTCCCAAATATACTTGCCAAATGAGGTCAAGAGTTATGAGACATTCTCCAAATTATTTGAGGGAAAAAAAATAGATATTAACTAAGCTCATTAGGTCTCTTATTCCAAGTGTTTTTTTTTTTTTTATAGTATTATAATATATTATGATGATTGTTGTCGTCTTGGCCAAGTAGTTGGCTTTGTTTATGTGATGTCAACGTCAATGACATATTTCCATAGATATGTATTATTTATTACAGACTATATATTTATTCGATGTCAATTATTTACTTTTTATTTAATAAATAGAGGTTTTGAATTTGTATTTGAAATTCGTAAATGCAGTAAATGTTGTAGTGGTTCAACTATTAATTCTTGGGTGTTCTTGTAAATTCAAGATGATGATTGTTAGAAAAAGATTAATGCTTTTACTTAGATAGACCTCAAAAATGCGTGCAAATGAGTTATGTTTAGTGATTTGAACAGTAAAAATAAGTTAAAATTTTGTTCGTTACATTTTGATATCTGACGAATGAGTTCTTTCGTCAATCTGGTATGGGGAATCCTGAGCGTATCAAACAACTAGATTGCTTGTAGTCAGTCGTGGTAATTTATCTCATGAAACCCAAAAGCATTAGTGGAATCATTACAAAATAACATGGCTTCAAGCACAGATTTTTCGTTCTTGAAATCACGATATTTGTTGCTATTACTCTTTACCAAAAAAATATTAGCAACCACAAATCAATTGTTAATTTGGAGGTCGTTAATAATTACCAACGGATCACGCCGTAGGTAAGAATAAATATTTTATGAACGAATTTTCCATTGACAAAGTGTGAATCTTTTACCAACGAAATTTTCGTTTGTAAAAATCTTAATCAATACCAACCGACTTTTTATTGGTAAATGTCTATTATTATAATTAATAAAAATCAATATTGCAAATAGCCACATAGGTGTGAGGTTTGGTATATAAATATATCTTTAATATTATTTATTTAATAATTATGCTTCTTTTTTCTTTTCTTTTTTTTAACTTTTAGTCAACTGAATTGAAAGGCCAAAATATTATTTAGCCACTTATTGGACCACAAATCTATAGAAGCCAACTCCAAAGACTTTGTCGTGAACTTTAGATGTGGGGTGAGTGTATTACTTTTACCAACGGTAATCCATTTCTAATTATGGTAATATTCAGTACGTCACCTACGGAATATTCGTAGGTAAAAGATTCAACTATTAAACGGTTACATGAGGCAAGGAATATTCGTTGGTAAAGAGATATCATCGTTACTAATGAAAAATCCATAAGTAAAAGATCTAAATATTAAACGGTTACATGAAGTACGTAATATCCGTTGGTAAAGAGATATCATTGTTACCATTGGAAAATTCGTTACTGATTATCGTAGTTGAAAGTGAATTACTTTTACTGACGGATAATCTGTTTCTAATTATCAATGAATTGGATCCATTGATAATATTCGGTACATAACCTACGGAATATCTGTAGATGAAAGGTCCAAATGTTAAACGATTACATGAGGCACGAAATATTCATTGATAAAGAGATATCATCATTACCAATGAAAAATTTGTTGCTGATTATCATAGTTGAAAGTGAATTACTTTTACCAATGGATAATCCGTTTCTTTCCGTAGGTGAAAAGTTTTTTTTTAACAGTGAATGGTGTCTGCCTCCACTTGATTTGCTGAAAATGAATGTGTATATGACTATTAAGGAAGGTGATGGATTTTATACCGTGGGTGTTATCTATAGAATGTTGAAAGGGCAGTGGTTGTAGCCATGTGAAAGCAATTCGGGAGGGCCTTAAATTTGTAGCTACGCCTAGAATTTAGTATTGGAGAATATGCATTCCAAATTCGGCTAGTTCTCGATATTCGTAGAGGAAAGGAAAAAGAGTTATGCTACTTGTACAAAATTAATTGACAAAGTTGGTTTACAAAACAACACCTACACCAATCATTTCAAAAACACATTTTTAAATCATTTGAATTAAAAATCAATATTTTGCCAACACTTATTTTGTCAAGGGAAAATTAGGTCAGATACTCTATTAAAATAACTAATTTGAATAATACACTTTTAAATTAATTAAATCTTTTAAACAAGTAATTAATACGTTCTAAACAACTGCAACCCCAAACCTGAACCAGTAACCTCGATAGAAACCATTCCTCATCAACAAACCCCATTCCAGAAGGCACCAAAGGAAAACCCTCCTCATCTACATCTTCTCTCACCGTCTCCTCCAGCTCCTCTCTGAGAAATTCTAAACCATCAGACTTCTAAAAGCCCCAAACCATAACCTTCAAAATCAGAAACTCCCCAATGTTGGTGAAGAAGGAAACATTCTTCAAATGTTCATAAATTTAAGTTTAGCCAACATTTTTCACTATTTTAAACTTTTTTATGGTTTTTATTCGATTTTTGTGTTGAAATGTTTATTTATTTATTATTATTATTATTATTATTATTTTTTGTGTTTTTAAGCGCTTTAAATATATAATTTGAAATGTTTATTGTCCTAAAATCAAGTTGTGATGATTAAATTTTTAGTGTAATACATTTTTGAAAATCAAGAATACTGCTGATTTGTTAAATTGGGAGCACCTTTTTATTCAGTAAGCTCTTTAAAAGTAGCAAGGATATGTCATGGAGTGAATTGAGTTTAAGTTGTTAGTC